GGTTTCACCATGTTGGTCCGGCTGGTCTTGAACTGCCGACATCAGGTGATCTACCCGCCTCAGCCTCCCAAAGTGCTAGGATTACAGGCGTGAGCCACTGTGTCCAGCCCCAAGTACTCTTCATATTCAACAATACATCTTCAGCTCATGTGTAGCTCAAAGTCACAGGGGAAATTAGAAAATATTTCGAATTGAATAAATACAATGTTTGTGACAATTAATTGTATGTCCCCTTGGCTGTACTGTGGGGTACCCAGATTAAACATGACTTGCGGGTGTGTCTGGGTGTTTCTGGGTAACATCAGCCCCTGAGTTGGGGGCTCAGGAACGCCAACTGCCCTCCCCAGTGCAGGTAAGCGTCACCCCAATCCACAGGGTCCTGAACAGAAAGGGGTGGGGAGGGGTTTGACTGCTTTCCTTCTTGCCTGCCAGACTGAGACGGGTCACAAGTATCCTGTCCTTGGACTGTATTATTCCAGCGCTTTCTTCAATCTCCAGCAAATAGCAAAGCAGGGGACTTTTGTCTCCATAATCAAGTGGGCCAATTCCTCATAATAAATCTTTAGAAAGAGGCACAGATATTGGCAATGTTTCTGTGGAGAATGCCGACTAGCACAACAGATTAATCAAGGCCTAAGGCTCCACCTCAGGAAGCTACAAAGTAACAAACCCAACATAAATGGAAGGGATTTATAAGGAACAGAAATCAATGAAAACAAACATAAATTTAACAAAGCCAAAAAACTTGGTTCTTTGAGCAACATGAGGAAAGAAGGTTCATCACTACAGATCTTAGAGGTATGAAAAAGATAAAATACGAACAACTTCATGCCAAGAAATTAGGAAAATTAGATGAAATGGACAAATATCTTGAAAACTACAATTTACCAAGGCTGACAAGAAATTAAACAGAAAATCTGAATAGCCTTGCATCTATTAATAAAGTTATATTTGTAATAAAAAACCTACCCCATAGAAAAATTCCAGGCCTAAATACATGTGTGTGTGTGTGTGTTTTTTTTTTTCAAATATTTAAGAATGACATCAATGTGGGTTTTTTTGAGACAGAGTCTCACTGTGTTGCCCAGGCTGGAGTGCGGGACGCGAGCTCGGTGACAGTGGCAGGAGACAGCAGAAGGCCCAGGCAGATGGGGCAGGGCCCCAGGGAAGCCACGTCCAAGCCAAAGACAGTTAAACTCGGACTAGATTGAGAACTTGTTGTCCTGTTTGGCGCACTATCCTCTGCTTGATCCTACCCGTCGCCATTTTACACGTATCTACCCTGTCCTAATTGGTTTTCTTTCACAGTCTCTGCCTTGTGGGTTCAAGCAATCCTTCTACCTCCACCTCCCGAGTAGCTGGGACTGCAGGCGCCTGCCACCAGACCCAGCTAATTTTTGTATTTTTAGTAGACACAGGGTTTCACCACATTGGCCAGGCTGGTCTCGAACTTCAGACCTCAGGTGATCCGTCCGCCTCAGCCTCCCAAAGTGCTGGGATTACAGGTGTGAGCCACTGCGCCCGGCCTCCTAACTGGCTTTCTGCACCGTCATGTTCACTTTTGAATAGTGTCTTTTTGCTTTCCCATTTTTTGCATACTCACAAACGCATCAGCAAGCCTCTTCTGTATCATAAAAGGTCCCAGACCCAGCCACACAGGGAGACTTTCCCACCTTTGGACGGGTGAACCACCCCTGCACCCCTTGTCCATTGAAAGCTGTTTCACTGCTCAATAAAATTCTTCTCTGCCCTCCTCACCCTTCAATGTCCAGTGCTTCCTTATTCTTGGGTGTGGTACAAGAGCTCAGGAACCACCAAACGCGGTACAAACCGTTAACACAGTGAGTTGGGGTATGCCAGCATGGCCAAGCGGGGCGTCACTGGCCAGAGGTCCCCAGCTTGCAAAGTGACCGAGAAGAAAAGTCCTAAGTCATCAACACACTGCAATCTCTGCCTCCCAGGCTCAAGCAATTCCCTTGTCTCAGCCTCAGGAGTAGCTAGGAGTACAGGCATGCACCACTACACCCAGCTAATTTTCATTTTGTTATTTTTTTGAGATGGAGTCTTGCTCTGTCACCCAGGCTGGAGTGCAGTGGCTCGATCTCAGCTCACTGCCACCTCCACCTCCTGGGTTCAAGCGATTCCCCTGCCTCAGGGTCCTGAGTAGCTGAGACTACAGGTGTGCACCACCACGTACGGCTAATTTTTTGTATTTTAGTAGAGATGGGGTGTTGGCCAGGATGGTCTTGATCTCCTGACCTCGTAATTTGCCCGCTTTGAGGCCGGGCACGGTGGCTCAAGCCTGTAATCCCAGCACTTTGGGAGGCCGAGGCGGGTGGATCACGAGGTCAAGAGATCGAGACCATCCTGGTCAACAT